TAATTAAAAGCCTTTGCTATCTGCAATTATATATTTCCCTGCTATGCATTATTATCGTCTGGTCTCAAGTCAGAGTAGCATACCTGTACAGAGCATACAATGGTAAAGGATAAGAACAGCTTCATGTCGGTGGATCAGTCGGAGTGACTTGTTTACAGTGACTGGCGTGTATCCATGTGGCTTTTCCTTCTAGTTACACCGAGGTAGCCATAGTCAAGAGCATTTGGAATGGACCGTCAAAGTGTGGTTCAAGTCCTTTCCTCACATGTCTCTTTATCACTACCCAATCACCAGGCTGCAGTTTGTGAGTTGCAGAATCAGAGTCTGGATCTGGAATAGAATCAAAGACTTGTTTATGCACCCTGCCTAATCGTTGGTGTAGGGCCTGTACATAGGCAGTCATACTACCATGCTGCATCTGGAGGGTCTGGGGAAAATAGAGGTCTGTCTTTGGGGCACATCCTAACAGTATCTCAAAAGGGGATAGGCCATGTTTAGAATTGGGTCTGCTTTCAATAATCAATAATATGCATCAATAATATGCTTTCAAGAAACACATTTTTGTATAAGGAACCCTCCTACCTTTAATCCCATTAAATACCCTCAAATTTACCACGCTTCCTCACCTCTCAAATCAAAAGGGGTCTCTATAATGTTCCATCAGGATTGGATTTTTAAACAAGATTTAATATATAGGGACAAGCTAGGGAGGCTACTAGTTGTGGTAGGAAACTTAAATGGAATACAATTAACAGTTGCTTCGATATATGCCCCTAATAAGTCACAATTTTTCTTTTGAGTAGAGCATTTTCTAAAATCTTAACTCTTCGCAAAGGTCATACTATAATATGCGGGGATTTTAACTGTATATTGGATCCAAACATGGACATAAAGAGGAGCAATGGTAAAAATCCGTTACACCAGTCCACCCTCTTGAGTTCAAAATTTTCTAAACTCATTAATTTGCATGATCTATACGATACATGGCGCAGTTTATACCCAAACAATAAAGATTACACCTTTTTTTCAAATGTACATAGAACCTACTCTCGGATAGACATGTGCCTAGTGGATAAATTAACATTAATGAATGTCTCTGTGATAAAAATAGGTACTAGGGTTTGGTCTGATCATGCACCGGTTGTCACCACCTTTAGAGCACAATTCACAGCAAGGGGTAGAAGCACATGGCGCCTTAATGAATCTCTTTTAAACCAAACAAATTTAGTTTCCCAAATAAGCACGGCAATTAGGTCTTTTTATAATGATCATCTCTTTGATCCTTCAAGTACTGTAATAAAATGGATGACACTTAAGGCGGTACTGAGAGGGTTATTCATTCAAGCAGGCTCAATACAGAAAAGAAAGATATCGGCAGATAAAGAAAGTCTCCTAAATAAACTTAGTGAATTAGATAAAGCAAATAAAATGAACCCCACTAAAATAATATCTAGAGATGTCCGTAAATACAATAGAGAGACAATTAAGGAAACTAAAACAGACATATTATTCGCAGGGCAATAAGGCTGGTAAATTATTAGCAAGTAAATTAAAGTCCCAATATTTACAGACTAAAATTCAATTTTTAATAGATTCAAACGGCATAAAATTGTACAATCCGCAAGATATAGTGGAGGAGTTGGGCTCCTTTTACCAAAAATTATATAATTTAAGGCTGGACATAAATACGTACCAGTCTTCAAAAAATTAAAAATCTGTTTTCCTTAACGAGGTTAATTTGCCTAGATTAACAACTCAACAATGTAATGTCCTTTCTGAACAGTTCTCTGAAGATGAAGTAAGAAAGGCGATATATACACTTCCCAGAAATAAAGCTCCGGGCCCAGATGGGTTTCCAAATAATATTTATGTAATTTTTGAAGCCCAACTTACACCATATCTTACAAATTTATTTAATTATTTTAAGGTTGCTGGGTCTTTACCGGAAGAAATGCTTTTGGCCCATATTATTACTTTACCTAAACCAGGTAAAGTGCCCAATGAATGTGTTAATTTAAGACCGATTTCTCTATTAAATACAGACATAAAACTATATGCAAAACCTTTGGCTACATCTGTTAACAGATTTGATTTCACCGGAGCAATCAGGGTTTGTACCGTCAAGAGAACCAGGAGACAATACCCGTCAATTTTTAAATATAATCAATTGGGCACAAGTCAGCAAACAGAAGGGTTTATTATTAGCCCTCGACGCAGAGAAAGCGTTTGATCGACTAAACTGGTCTTATATGCAGGAAGTATTGTTAAGAATGGGGTTCCCCCTAGCTTATTTGAGTAATATAATGGTTCTTTATTCTAATCCTGTGGCCAAAATATATAACTCTGGATTTTTGTCCAGATCATTTCAAATTACAAATGGATCCAGACAAGGATGCCCACTATCACCACTGATTTTCATTTTGTGCATGGAACCCCTTGTAAGACATATTAAAGCCCAAAAAGGAATCAAAGGTTTAAATACCCCAATAGGGGATCTAAAAATCGCTCTTTTTGCGGATGATGTCCTATTATTTTTATCAGACCCAGAATCATCAATATCTCAATTATTGAGCACGCTTGAAAGATATGGCCAATTGTCATATTATAAAAATAATTCAAAAAAATCACAGGCATTGGTACTAGGGCTCTCAACAGCTACTATACAATGCTTAAAATCATTATACCCATTTGACTGGCGCAAAACATCCATATCCTATTTAGGTATCAAACTTCCTATAACACAAACGCTGATAATAAAAGAAAACCATCTACCATTAATATACAAATTAGACCGCCAACTTAAAAAATGGGAAAATAAAGAAATATCCTGGCTGGGTCGTATACAAACAATAAAAATGATGATTCTGCCCCATATCCTATATCTTTTTCGGACATTGCCAATTATCATTCCAAATACCATACTTCAGAAGTTCCAGGCACTTATCAATGCGCATATCTGGAAAAGGAAACCCTCACGAATTGCACAAGACCAGCTTTAGCCTCCATTTGCTAAAGGTGGTTTAGGTGTTCCAAATGTCAAAATTTATTATAAGGCTACACTACTTGCTCAAGGTCTTTCAATACTTGAAAGGGTTTCTCCTCCGCTGTGGCTGGCACTAGAAAGTGCACGATTTTTACAAGGCTCATTATCGTTCGCACTGTGGTCTGGGAATATAGTACCTAATAAGGCAACAGAGTTGTTCCCAAACACAAAAACTCTTCTCCATATATGGAGAGAGTCAATTCTCAACCTTTCAGTAGGACAAGATTTATTATTTGTTGCACCTCTGCAGACTCTGACTGTTTTTACTCCAGACCTGCAGTTGGAACTTTGGACACAGCTAGGTCATTATACGGTCATTACTTAATGACTCAGGTGTCAAATCATTTCCCGAACTGGTTAAAGAGTACTCCCTACCACCCAGATAAATATTCACATATTTAAGGATTAGGAGTATTCTATAAATAAACAAAATTAAAGAGATTCAGTCACTAACACCGTTTGCACTAAAATGCACAAGGAAATTACCTAACAGCAAAGCATTGTCTTTTTGTTATAATACTCTGCTAACACAGGAGGAACCTAAGAAACAGAAATATGTTCTAAAATGGGAAAGTGATTTAGGGGAATCATTCCCGCTAACAACTTGGTTTCAGGCACAAAGGAAAACTAAAGAGGTTTCCTGTAGTCTTGATCACTGGGAAACTTACTGTAAAGTTATTATGCAATGGTATTGGGTTCCAGTCAAATTAGCACATATTTACCCAGGAACGAGCAACTTATGTTGGCGTTGTTTAAAACACGAGGGATCTATACTTCATATTTTTTGGCTTTGCCGAGTATTACTAAATTATGGGAAGATATAGAAAAAAATTTTAGGATAGCATTGAAGGTCACTGTTCCATTCAGACCAGAATGTTTTTTACTCCATATATTCCCTATACAAATTAGCAAAGAAGCAATATATATGATTATTCATTGCTTAACAGCAACAAAAATTACCATTGCTCATAAATGGAAACAAACCCAAACACCAACAATATTAGAGGTCTTGAGCAGATTTGATTCTTTTAGCCTCTATGAAAAAATGGCAAGCAGAGTTAAGGGTAGAGAGGATCTATATAAACGAAGATGGCAACAGTGGTTGGAAATAAGAGATCAGTATATGCCAATAATGAATATTGCTACATAGCCCTTAATAAATAAATAAATAAATAAATAAATATATAAAAAGGAAAAGAGAAAGGAAAGAAAGAAATCTTTTTAATCTCCCCCCTCCACCTGTAGACAAGATAGTGGTTTACAATATACATAAGAGAGATAAATGATACTACATGTGATGTTATTGTTTATAAATTTATATGCAATTGGCAAAAATGTTATGGTCTGTTCACCTTCCCCCCCCGCCCCACCCTGTTTTTCTTTTCTGTATCCTATGTATGTGATTGTTTGTCTGTTTTTTTGGGGTCATATCTTTAATGACTGATGTAATCAATATAAAAATGTAAATAAAAACAAGATAAATAAAAAGAAAGAATTGGGTCTGAATCTCATAGAAAAGAGTGCTAGGGGAAAGCATTCAGTCCAGGGCTTCACTGTGTCTTGCATGGCTTTTGCAATCTTGTTCTTTAAGGTGCCATTTGCCCTTTCTACTTTCCCACTACTCTAGGCATGATAGGGAGTGTGGAAGGCCTGACTGATCCCTAAGACGTTCAGAATTTCTTGCATTATTTCCCCAGTGAAATGGCTACCTCTGTCACTTTCAATCACTTCAGGTACTCCATATCTACATACCAGTTCCTTCAGAAGCTTACTTCCTGTGACGTTCGTTGTGGCTTTCGACACTGGATAGGCCTCAGGCCAACCTGAAAAGAGATCAATGCACACAAACACATATTCATACACTCCTACCTTAGGCAGTTGAATATAGTCTATCTGCAGTCTTTGAAGTGGGTAAAGTGGCCTTGGTGTGTGCTTACTTGGTGTTTTGACAGCCTGTCCTGGATTGTTTATAGCACAAATCATGCAAGCTTGGGTGTGTTTAGCTGCTACAACAGTAAATCCGGGTGCTACCCAATAGGTATTTACTTATGCTGTTCATGTGCATCTTAGATAGATGTGTAGGTCCATGGGCAATCTGGGCCATCATGGGGTACAATACTTGTGGCAAACACAGCCTTTTACATTTCCTCCACATTCTGTCATCATCAGGTTCTGCATCTTGTTTCCACCAGAGGTCATGTTCTTCCTTGCTTGCCTGTCTTTGTAAGCTCAACAGTATATTGTAGTCAACGGCGTCATCTGTAAGAACAACTTGTAGGAAGGTATTACCTGTAGAGGGATGAACTTGAATTGCTGCTTGCTTGGCAGCTTCGTCTTTGTGGTTTCCTCTTGAGATTTCATCTGTGATCTTCACGTGAGCTGCCACCTTGATGATGCCTACTTGAGTCCATAAGTGCACTCACGGCTTCAGAGTTCTTGATTGGAGATCCTGCTGAGGTGAGAAAATCACAGGCCCGCCATATAGGGCCAAAATCATGGGCTATACCAAAAGCATAGCGAGAGTCTGTATAAATATTAGCAGTCTTACCAGAAGCCATTTTACACACTTCAGCGAGTGCCTTCAGCTCTGCATCCTGTGCAGAGCAGTGAGGAGCGAGTGGTTCAGCTTTTATTACCTCATGTGCAGAGACTACAGCATATCCAGTGTGGAAATTGCCATTCTCATCAGCATATCTGGAACCATCTACAAAAAACTCAAAATCTGCATTAGAAAATGGAGAATCAATTACATGCAAAAAAACTGTTGTTTCATGTGCCATTAGTGCTGCACAATCATGGGGTACCTGGGCGTCAGCTAACTCATCTGGTGAATGTGAATTTACAAAAAGATCAGAACAACAAGTACCTTTCCCACTATCTCCACTCCCCTCTTTTAAATCCAGGGGAAGTAATGTAGATGGATTTAACACCATACACCTTTTCAGAGTAACATTAGGTGGCATAAGCAAGGCACATTGCTTTCTGAGATGCAGTATGTATGTGTTTTGGTTGAACTAGTGACAGTATGCTGTTGATGTCATGCGGTGTGTATATGGTCAGTGGGTTATCTAAGACTATATCAGTGGCTTTGTCCAGGAGGGCAGTAACAGCCCCACTGCCCTAACACATGAGGGGGCACCCCTGGCAACAGAGTCCAAACTGGTGGAGTAGTACGCTATTGGTCTTTGTTTACCATCATGGTCCTGTGTAAGGACAGATGTAGCATTCTCTGCTGCATGGGTTAATTTAAAGGGTTTGTTTTTGTTGGCGAGACACTCATATAGGGGCTGCATGTAGATTGCTGTAGAAGCCAAGGTCAGTAGTATGAATCGTAGCTGGGCTAGGCTGCGGGGGCGGGGGAGGTGTAATATTTTGAACTGCAGTCTGCCTCTGCCAAGAATTTCAGTAAGGAAAGCGTGTTTACAATACAAGTCTCCATATTATCACAAAATAGGATTAGGTCCTCGATATACTGCAATAAAATTACATTATTTGGCCTTTTCCACTCTTCAAGAATCTGTGCCATGGCCATGCTGTACCTAGTGGGTGAGTTTTGTGCGCCCTATGGCAATGCTGTCCAAGTGTACTGCTTGTGTTTGCCAAGTCAATAACAGTAAATACCTTAGAGGAAGGTGGCGTCTGTGCCAACAAGGTGTGTGGGTTGGGAACATTAGCGGCAATGAGTTCAGTTACTGTATTTTTGCCAGTTGTTCACTGGGTGTCCAGGGCTTATATTCTTCCTAGTATTGGATACCTAAACTCAGCTGTCTCTTCTCATGGTATACACTCTCAACTTTGGGTATCATGGGAGTAGTAAATTGTGGAGCCAATGGCCCCACTGGGGTGTCTATGGGGGCCACTAGGGGTTCCCTTAAGTCTGGTTCTCCTTCTTGCCCATTCTGGGACCCTAGAGGTCCAAAACATTGATAATATGGTGGTTTCTCTACAACCACATTTAGTTAATTCAACAGCAGTATCATGCCATTTTTGGGCAACTTCTACTAAGTCATTATCTTCTAACCAACCTCTGTAATTTGCCATAAATTCATTCCATATATGTGGGTCTAGAGTGCCCTCTGAGGGCATGCCAGCTTTCTTAAGTAACCTCTTAACATTCTTAATTGCTCCTTGTCCTTTGTGATGCTTGACAATAGTCAAAGTCGTAAATCCACCTTAGGTGCTTTCAGAGCTACCCATCTTAAAACTTGTAAGGGTTAATTACTTCCTTACATAAGACAAACTGTACAAAAACAGTGTATAAGACACTTATGACCATTGCAGTGGAATTTTCACAGTTTTGTCTTCTAAACACAGATCAGGAGATCTGCACTTGGATGATTCATTTTTAAGCATCAAGCATTTCCTGAGTCCAAGTTAGCCAATTTTAATATAGGATATCATTATATGACATCTATAAGCTTGAGCCTTGGAATCAAGATAAATTCTATCACAAGAGTAACTGTCACTACCCAGGATTTTTCATGTTATGTATACTTATCTCTATATTTTACCATGTTCATTCATCATAGTTTGAGTACAGAAAAAGTGTACAGAGAAAATTAGAAATTTAAAAAAATATATATTTTACATTTATATCTTAATTTGTAAAGTGTGCTGTGTACCTAGGTTAAACTATATGGTGGTGTAATTTGTTAAATCTGTAACATAAATTTAAAAGAAAATGGAGCATCACATTAAAAAAGATTCCTTAAGGAAGTGGCCTGATCCACTGAGTGTTGCGCAATGGACATTTATGGAGTCCGTGAGTGCAGACTACTCTTGGAATTTGTTTTTATTTACATGTGACCACTGTCTGGCACCCGGCATTGAAGTCTTAGATAACAGTGAAGCAGTATGCCTGGAGTCATGGGAGGATTTTTGCCGGCCTATACCTACCCCCATCCCAGCTTCCTACTGACATTCTGCCAATGCTTTGGAACCTGGTTGCTAGTTTACCTTACTCAACTTCCAGTTCACTGGTTTCCCAATTTAGGATGGCATTCTGGCATCGGTGGAGGAGAATCCGGGATTAGGGAGCCTAACCCGCAGTCAACCTTCCCCGATTCTTATCTTTTTAACATTGTACAAATATGCTCAGGCAATGCTAAATTTAGTTTCAGTACATTAGGCCTATGTTTGCCCCAATACAATTGAGCGGAGTACAATTGATGAGGCTTGTTGCAGAGATGTTGGGGGATTTTGCCTAATGAGTAAAGATACATAGTTATTTAAAATAATTTATAGCTAGGAGTGGCAAGCAGGGGGAAGGAGTGGTGGAGCAGAATAAACATTTGTTGTATACAATTTAAGTAATCGCCAATCAAATTCTATCAATCGGATTATTAATAACCACACGTAACTGTAAGTTCAAAATGGTTCAGAATATTCAGCCTATGTTTGGTTATGCTACATAGTCACGGTGGTTCACTACATTCAGCCTACGTTGAGCTGCGCTACATTTTCAATTTGGGTCAGTACAATTCGCTACATTCGGCCAAGCATTCATTCACTTATTTTAAGCCTCATTTAGCAATGCTACCGGTCAGTAGGTATTTACATATCTTTTTGTTATCTCATCAGTTAGTCCTAGGACTGCAAGTAAGCTTATACTGTATGTAAGGCCGAAAGCAACTTCATACTCTCATGCATTCGGCACATTTTATAAGTTGCTTCATTGAGGTATTTATCTGTACAATACAATGGGGTTTGTTTTTTTTTAAATTCTTTATTTTTGGAGTGCATGAAAACATAACATTTGAGCTCATCATGCCCCAATAGCATTGATAATTGTATGGCAAGACATATTGTAAACAGTTTGATAGCATGTGAATAAACTGCACAATTTTTCGTGAGAATTCGACAAACCTGTAACTAGTTTCTGCTGAGGGGATACCACAGTTGCTTCCACCGCTAACATCACTCTTGGTGGTATGCGTGAGGGCCGGTAGGTGCGTTAATTGGTGTCTGGGATCATGCTGGTCGGCGAGAGGTTCGTGGAGTAAAATTGTGTCGCAAGTGGATAACGTGGGTTCGTTCAGGTTGGGCACAGGGTATTGGGTAATGAGTCGCTTAGCTATACGTCTGTGTGGTTTAGGGGAAAGCGCGGTAACTGGTGTGTTCTGCGTTGGTTTTGAGTTTAGTGTATGTACAGATACTGGGTGTTGAGAAGGAAGCCGCTTAGGTGAACTTATGCATTGTTGCTATTGGGGTTAACCCCATGCTTGCCTCGGCATTGTGTGGGACATGCTCAGGTAGAGGCTCGCGGCCGAGTTTAGGTAACTGGTGCACATAACATCTGATTAATCTGGAGAGTACAATATGTTTAAAAAGAAAAGTGAAAATAAAGTGACAACATACAGTTAACAAATAAACAAACCATTATGATACTGAAAATGAAATGGATGCTTTATTTAAATCCATACTGGTTAGGCATGTACATTGGCCTGATACAGTCTGAGTAGGAACAGACATCACATCAGAGAGCAGTTTTGCAGACGCCCGTCACCTCTCAGGTAGTGACCGCCACGTAGGGGTCTGGTGTTAGCCCCTGTGGAACGAACGGGACTGTTCTTGTTGGGTCCCAAGTGTGGTTTGGAGAGGCTGTGCTCTGCGGACCTGTCTAAGTAAGTGAGTCCTGGGGCAGTCCCAAAGCCCGCAGTAGCACTGATGCATCTTCCAAGTCCCGGATCTGGTGGGAGTCCGACCCGTGTTGGATGGTGAGTGCGCGGGAAGGCCTCCAGCAGTATTTGAAGTCATGCCTGCTGAGAGATGTGGTGAGTGGTTGGAGAGACCGTCAACACGCCAGGGTATCGCTCGATAGGTCGGCAAAGAAGGTTAGTTCCATGTTTTTGAATTGTAGGGGCGTTTTTCCCCATAGCGCATTAAGGATTGCTGTTTTATTTTGGCTTTTGCCGAAGGTGACTATCACGTCTCTTGTAGCTGGGGTTGGCGCTTTTGGCGGTTTGGGAATCCTGAATAGGTTGTCCGGGATAATATGTTTGGCTTGTGTGGGTGGTAATATATTTCTGAGTAGGCGTTTAATGAATTGTGGCAGTTCGGATATCGTTTCATAACTAGTCAATCACATAAATATTAGTGAATATCTTGAATGAACAGACAAGAGGCAAAGTTTTGATGAAAGTATAAACAAAACTTTACT